ATATATGTACATGTGTACTAGGACATGGTACAGTGTACATGTGTTGATGGGTAAGTGGATGATTTGCATACATGTACATGTGTACTAGGACATGGTACATGTGTGGATGGGCATGTGGATGATTTGCATATACATGTGTGGATGGGCATGTGGATGATTTGCATATACATGTGTACTAAGACATGTACCAGTACATGCGCTTGTATGTGTACCATGGTAGAGAATGTAAGAAACTGTCTACGTACATGCACACCCATGTACCGGGTACATGGATTATTGAGCCATTTTCAGTGAACAGTGCCCTCTTGTGATCTAAATAGGACATGCATCTCCAAGATGCATCATAATTGAACCCAAGTCCGCCCACAAGTCCTTTCACAAATCCCTTCATAAGTCAAGCCTAGAGTCCTTCAGCAAAACCAGTCCTAAGAAATTGGACAATAAAGGGATGTTTTTGTCACACTTGGTTTGGGTTCTACCGTAGCTTTGAACTTGTCTCAGGACTGTTTGACTTGTGTTGTGACAGACTTGTAGGGACTGGTGATAAACTTGGCTACATGTACGGGGAGGCCTACACGTGCACACTGACAAGATGGTAAGCTAGTCATTCCGGTAGCTTGGCACACTTTGTTCATTATGCAGACTTAAAGTACAAAGGCTTTGATGTTGACTATCAAACACCATGGCGACCAGACAATCACAATAACTTTCATATTAAGTTGTCCTCCCACACCAAGCATAATTTGTTTTAGAGAGCAAGCACAGTCTCAAAACATACAACATCGGTTCTTATTGAACAACATGTTTACATAATGCCAACATTTACCTGGGCAAGTCAAGAAATTAGGGGTCCAAAAGCGCGACATTTTCGTGTCCCTGTTACCGGTACACCTGACCTTTATTATTTGAAATGGAAATATCACCGGAATTGATTTCAAACTATTACTATTTGTTTGGCAGGTGAGGTGTACTTTGCATTCATTCATCACGCTTGTGTTCTGAACTTAATCATATGTCAGACGTGACAGGGACGCGGAAAAAATGGACCCCTGATTTCTGGGAGTACCCACCTACTGTAAACTCTGTATATTGAGCGTGAAGCTTCGACAACAAAGGGGCACCCATTTGAGGTGGGATATACAGTATACCGGTACTCCACCCTCTGCAAATCGGTGCCCCGGATTCACTGATTAGCCTAGTCACTAACATTTGTAAACATCAGTACTTTCCCCTGTGCTACACTTTTCATGCATTCTAAATAGATTGCACACCTGTATACATTTACAAATGGACGCTTAAACTTCTTGAAGTGTTATACGTGTATAAAGGCACAGGTGCATGTACATGTACATGTGGCATGGGAGAACGAATGCTAAATTTTAGGCCTTTGAAACAGAGTAGAGAGTCACCTCTGCTGTCAAGTTCACTCATTTCAGTCTTTCTACACTGTAACCAGAGCTAAAGCTTTTTTTTAATAGGAATTGTTTTCATGACATGTACCGGTACGTATGACAGCCCACGGATATCCACAGCCAGATCAATTATCTTTTGTTCTCTGCAAGGATGAGCACAATCTGATAGGGTTCGCTACCTGTGAATATCTTGGTGGGTACCGTACAATACTGGTATAATGTACATGTATGCGCCGGCAAATCTGACACCAATGCTGAAATTAATGCACATACATTATGTTGTAAGTTTTCCAATTGGGTTCTTGCACTTGTTCTGCGTGTACACAGAGAACATGCATTAAGGAATAAATTTGTTACGCGCACTCTGCGTGCTCCGCGTCAAATGCGTCATTGATCTCCATTATACATGCGCGCCTATTCGGTGAGTACCAAAAAAAGCCCTCTTTTGTGCCGACTGCTCAGAACGCATAGGTGAACCCAAAAAGTCCATATTCACATTTTATGCACAGCAATCTGTGCACCTGTTTGGTGTTTGCTTTTGGAGGGATAGAAAACCTTGTTGGCTTAAAGCCTTGCCCAAGCTGTTGTACAATAACTACATGTATATGATGGGAGTGACCGATTTGAGAGTACCAGTACATATGTACATGTACATGTACATCACACTGTTCACCACACGGAGTGTGTAGGCTGTGTGTCCCTGGCAGTATTCTTTGTGCTCATTCAACCCTTTGTCATGGTTCTGTTTGGTGTGGGCCTTGTGGCTGCATTTTGCATTCTCTGTGGTGGAAATCTCACATACTCAGCATACTCTACCCTGCTGTAGGACTGCATCCCCCCCTCATACATGTATGTACCGATACTCTGCCTATTCACGTACGTAAGCCAACGTTGCTTACACTGACATGTGTGTCTAAGCCGGTGAAGTGATTTCTGCATGTCATTGGCTTCGGGGAGTGCATTTTTTTGTGTGAGGATGGGGCTGCATCATTGATAAGCTAATCTGGTGATAGGTGCAGAGTTAATCCTCTAGCAGTTCTCCATACCCGTGGATGTTCAATCTTAGCTTAGTCTGTGTGGTAATATGTCCACTTGTTTTATCCAAATCTGCATGTACAACCGTTGAATTGTACACGTACAATGTACATGTACATGTATGCAGCTGTATACCGGTGTGTACATGTACAGGATAAACAGAGAGATGAGGTGAAATTGTTTGTTGCTAGTACTGTTCGTCATGAGAAATTCGTCTTGCCTGGAGGTGCAAAGATGTACTCTATTTGTGTACACCAGCTATGAAAAATGTTGACTGAGATCATGTACAGGTGCCTGGATATGTTCATGTATGTTGTCTAGTCCGTTGTGCTTCGATTCAACTGCATCAGTTAACCATTGCTCTCTGTGATCGGAATAATGTGAATATCACCACCGTTTGTAAAGATCACCGGTGATGAGTGACTGTGACAGGTAACGTTTTCTGGGACATCATCTTTATAGTCAAGGAAGCCATTGTTTTGGTTTGGATCTGTGGTGACCATGGGGAAACCACCTAAAAACCCTGCCATGGTTCGACAGTCCAGGTCCAGCAAGAATCAGGTAAATTGAAACACAATCCACAATGGAATCAATTAGAATTACTAGTAGAATTTCTTCTTAGAGCTTATTTTAATGGATATATATAAACAGAAGAAATTTTCTGTTTACTAATCGTACAGTACTTTGAGCCTCTGTGTATTCACCTGTAAGTGATTTGTGGAGTCAACAAAAGTGAATGCTGGTTGAAGTTCACAAAGCCAACAGCTACATGTACCATGTACATATATGTGCTGACTTACATGTACATGTAATGGATGTTGGCAGTTTGTGCAAGGAGGAAGGAAAATGGTCCGGTCTGCCTGAAATCACGAACATTCTTTGAAAATGTAAGGCTGTGCTGAATATCCGGATATTCGATTGAGTATCGAATATTCAAATACTATTTTCCGAATTTGAATATTCAAATGCAAAATTCATGAAGACGAAGGGATAAATTTCTTTTGTTTTAATAAATGAGAAAAATTGCACTATGGAGGCTTGTTTCAAGCAGATTCAAATGAAAAGAGAAAGAAATCTTAGAATGATTCAAAAAGTAAATTATTAATTAAAAGATTTCAAAGGACAAGAAGTATCGTTCGTCTCTAAGTCTTGCTAAATCGTTTTCAGTTTTACTGCATTGTGTTTGCAGAGTCTGGTGACCAGGCTTTTGTACCCAAAAACAATCCATGTGCACGACGCATGCGCAGTACCGGTAGCCCATTTCGATCTGTAACTCGTTTCGCTTTGAGTCTTTTCCATTATTTTGGGATTTTCTGAATAATTTATCATGGTTATGCACGGAGTGCCGGGAAAAGATGTATGCAGATGAACACAAACAAAATGGTTTCAGACTCAGTGCTGTCCTCTACAAATCTTACTCTGTTGGGCAGGGTCTAAGAAGCCATTTGCGAGTTAAATTTGAATAAAATGTGGTGCCCTGAGTTATCTGACTGCACATAAACATAACGATTGAATTCCCCAGACTAAAGACATTGTTGCTGTACCTCGTGATTCGGGGCAAGCTTGAGTTGTTTAGTAAGGAGAATTCAAGTTGTGATGTTCACATGAATTTAAAGATTTAGGTCAAAGTTAACTCGCAAAAGGCTTACTGAAAAAGCATATGAAGTACAGAAACTTGTGACACTCTTTCTGAAGTAAAAATCACCTCGTATTATATTTTAGGTTCTGCATCAGGTTTTATGCTGTGTATTTGACTAAATTTCCAAGTCAGGAGGCGTATGCATACGCCAATACATATGTTATCTAAACCCCTGAGCACATGCATCACTCTGTAGTATGTACATGTACAATGTGCACAGTACATCATGTATATGTACATGTACTGTACAAGTGTACGTGCATATTTACTGTACATGTAGTTATGAAGGTCTTTTGCAAACTGAAAGATAAACATTACTCAGGAAGGTCATTATAGTGATTGTTTTATTACCCTGCATACATACATGTACCTGGTACAGGTGCATGTGCATGTACCTGGTACAGGTGCATGTACATGTACCTGGTACAGGTGCATGTACATGTACCTGGTACATGTACATGTACCATCTGGTATGCGGATACGTATTTTGTTCATTTTTTGCTCTAATCAGCTCCGTCCTCATTCAAGCCTAGTAATAATACCCATTGGTACGGTAAACGTTGTCAAGGTCGTTGCTATCCTTTTTCCGTTTACGCTGACAGTCAGACACACCCATTAATATCATCATGACCCTTAAGGTCAGGAATTGAGCGGACTTTGATGTTTGCTGAATTATAACCTTTCCACTGACTAGACTGAGTTCACTATGAGAAAAGACCAATTAATTTTTGATTCAGGAAGGAAAACGGAAAACTGGTGCCCATTACTTTAAAAGAGCTTAAAAGAGCTTACGCTGTATTTCATAGAATTAAAAAGAAGTGGTACTGATATTTTTCTCTAATTTTTGCTCAAATTCAAATTGATGAACTGGGTTCATTTTTCTCCTCATACATGTACATACACATGCGTGTACTGTACATACATGTACATGTACATTATTAATGATCTTCAAGCGAACTTGGCGTGCTGTAAAGATGTTATGAGGGTTTTTCATTGATCTTCATAATAATGGTGTGGTCGATCGTTCTCGTGCATTGGTTGTCCTGCCTGACCCAGGCCTGCAGATCCTGGTACCGGTACTGTACATGTACATAAACATTGCTGTAATTTTGGTAGCAAAGTCACACTGTCACAGCCCAGGTATGTGTGCGGGCTCGTCTTCACGTAGCAAATAAGATACACCATAACATTGTTGGCACTAACTGTTTTCGTATCTTTTCTATTATGAATAACAGAAGAAGTGTTTTTCATGTGAAATGAGAAATCACCAAACAAAATACCGGTAGTGTGTCATGCTTTTTAGGGGGTGTATATATTTAGCCATTACACAGTTTGACACCTGGGATGGTTGATTAATTATGTTAGTACACATACATGTATGTGTACCCATGTACACAGTTGACCAGCCTTTGGAAAACATCCACAATTGGGTGTTGGCTTTTACATGATAACCAGTTGCAGTGCCAAGTACCGCTTTTCTACGTAAATAATGACACTCACTCACATGGTAACCACGATCATTGTGCCGTTACTTTTTATAAATAGATAAGCCATTGTCATAAATGGTGTCAAAAAGTGCATGTACAGGTACTTCCTTGCCCCAAGAGTTTTGTAAGGTTAAACGTGGAAAACTGATGTCATTTTTTTATTTGGACCATTCCAGTAATAACTGTGATACATGTACACGTACTTCCTGTGAACTTTGATATTTAAAAGGTTCTTTAGTACCCTACTTACAATGTAAAAATTAAAATTGTCTGGTTTCAAGAGCCACGTGTACAGTGTGCACATGTACCACATTGTTCCTGTAGTTTCCGTGACTAATTACGCAGTACATACCCACAGAGTACACACAGGATTGACATTCTTGATTAAGGCGTTCCGAGAAGATTTGCATTCCAGTCCTGGAGTCCAAAAAGACATGGACATTATCTGTGTATGTGGATACATTCATCTTACCAGCTTATTTATTTGTGGCTCAACACAAGGGAAAAATTGGAAGTGTCTGTGATCCTGGAGAACAAATGGTCCTAAACTGGTCCGTTTTTACTGGATGATAGCTATTCGTTATCAAAGGAGCTTTACTTGTAAACACGGAAAATGAGACTAATACGGAGGAAGAAGTTGCTGTCTCAAGATGAGGAGTTTATTGCGTCGTATACCGTTGCTTCTCCCGTCCTAGACCTAATTGCGAAGCAAGCCACTAAGCCTGAGGTGAGTCTTGAACCCGCTGGAATGGTTTCAAAAATTGTGGACATCATTTTAAAGAGATGATTTTGAATTTTGGAAATTACATTTCCACTGCAATTGGACACTTGAATGACTTGATAGACAAGCCACTTGTGTAAAGTGTATTTTGGGATTTCATTAGAATACAAAGGATGTTGTGGTACAGTGTTGGAATTTGTTGGATTCTGGTGGTATCTTGGAAAAGAGCCTACCTTGGAGCCTACAGTAGCATGATTGGAGATTAGGATATGCCTTCATGTGCTGTGCTAGTACATGTACATGTATGGCGTTTCTTGTAAAACTTCAAATCGTCTCTCTCTCTTTGAAGTCTTTGCACCAGTTCTCTCAGAGACAGACTGATGTCATAGTGTAGGTAATCAGCTGGGTATTATTAAGTTGTCAACGCCCATGGTGCTGCCTTGACTTCCTGGCAATCCATTGGAAGGAGAGAATAATGCCTTTTGATCAATTGTTTCCTGATTACTGAGGGAATTGCCTCTCTTACGTGTAGTTCCAGTGAGCGAGCAGTGTGTCATCCTTGGGCAAACTCTCTAGTCCCTTCAATTGATTCTTCTACCGTACCTCAGGATTGTTTAAAATGCCATCAGTTTGTGTTGGTCATCTTCACGTACTGGTACAAGTTGTGCAGTGAAAGTGTCCGAAAATAGTTTCAGAAATACCATGTACATGTATGTATGGACTGCACCAGTGTGTATGTACATGTACATGTACAATGTACATGTACGGTGTCTGGTACCTGTGCTTGTCACACTAGTAAGGATGAGTACAAGTATACGTGTGCATGTACAATGTATCTATTGTTATTGATATATGATTTGACTATCATCTCACAGCCACGGTGATTCAAGAAAATTCAGCAAAGGGAACAAAAGTACCAGAAATAAAGCGAGCACAATGGTAAAATAAACAGTGGACAATGGGGTCCAATGCCCCAAATGGATTATACGGGACATACAAGTAACAGTGTACATGTATACGTACTGTGTACTTGTTTGACGACACACTTATTGTCCAAAGTACAACAGGTAGATAAATACTGTAAAGGACCCCCTCCTACACAGCTGTACACACGTCGTTTGCCAGTACACGACAGTGTACTCCTCGTCCTTCATATGCAGAAGTAAATGATGGGATTGTGTTGCTACATATGTAAGTTGTGTCTTCTTCGTGTCTGTTCTTCCTGCGAGTCTCTTCCCCTTTTTTCTATCCACCCAGAGCTGAAGTGCGCCCCCAATTGGGGAAAGAAAGACAAATGGTTACAACCATGTTCTTGCACATGTTCAGTGTGTACGCAAAGACCATACATTCGGGAATAAATTCATTGCGCGTACTCAGCGTGATCCAACGCAAACACGCACATACATGTGTAGTTGCACACCTGTGTGGTGAGTTGGTACCCAAAGGACCATCAATTTCATTTACAAACACGCCCTCTTTTGTTCTGGTTGGAGCAGATTGTGTGTAGCCCATTGGATTTGTCAGAAAGGTCACAAAACATGTTGGTAGTTTGTAAATTACCCGTAACATACATGTACATGTACATACGTGTACTGGTATACTGGTACCCGCACGTTATGAAATGTCGATGAAGATTCCGTAGTGTTACTTTCTTCACTGCTTCCCATTATTTGCTAAAATTTCTGCTGTCCACATTCGTTGTAAAATTTATGTA